TTCCACCACCATCAGGAAAGAAGCAGGTCTAGAAAAGGATGGGAACCTTGCCACACATGGATGCCGTCCTGCAGGCTTTTCCTTCCTTCTAACCACACATCCTTACCTTCTACTCCTCTGTTTAACAACCTGACTCTGAGGGCAGTGCATAACTTGGAACAGTAAAGTCCAGCATGGATGGCAGACTTACTGAGATTGCTGAATGGCAAAAAGAGTGCCGTCTTGACTTAATGCACTCTCTTAGCTAATGAAACAGTGAAAAACTGCAATCCAATCGCATATTTTCCACCATCACCATAATCCTCTTGCAGAAGAGTAGGAAAGTCAGCTTCATCAGTGCTACTAACATACTTTGCATCCTGGGAAGATCCCAGGAAGAATCTCCTTCTCTGGGCTACCTCCAAATATTGTCCATCAGGTCTCTCATGAAATTTCTCAGAGCATTTTTTTCCCAGATCTTAGGTAGGAGCTGCAATGTATATAATTTTTGCCAAATCTTTGCTAAGGACCACATGATGATATGTATGTGGTGCTTATAAACCCAACCAAAACACATTAGAGACCATTTGTCCTGAAGCTACCAACTGACTGGATTTGGGAGTCCACCCGAATGTGTATGACATGTGATCGGGGAGGATGACACATCACCTGGTGCATTTCCCATCATCAGGCTGCCTGACAGGTCCAGTCTTGTTCTAATCCAATAGGCCTGTGAGATCAAACAGCAATGAGCTGGAAGCTAGGGTTTATTTATTTATTTGTTTTAATGGAGGTATTGTTACTAGAATGTAAATTCCATGAAGGCAGGGATTTTTGTCTTTTTTTTTCTGCTGCTTTATCACCAGCAATTGTTCTTAGCACTTCCTTAGATCAGTGAATATTTGCTGAATGGGTGGATGGATGGAGAGTGTATTGGTTTTCTATTGTTGCAAATATTATATCACAGTTCTGCAGATCAGAAATCCAGCAGACTCAGCAGACTGGATTCTAATATGATTAGAATCTAGTAAGGCTGGATTAAAGTGTCAGTTGCCCTGTGTTGGTTGTAGAGATTCTGAGGAAGAATCTACTAGGCTGATCCCAGGTGTTGATAGAACTCAGTTCTATGGTTGCAGGACTGAGGTCTCCATTTCCTGGCTGGCTGTCAGCAGTGGGGAGCTCACAACTGCTAGAGTCGGCCCACGCTCCCTGGCCCGTGGCCATCTCACCTTCAAAGCCAGCATTGGAGGGCTTCCTTTCACTTGACCTCCCCTTCTGCCACATCTTGTCTGCCTTCCTCTTCTGCTTTCAAGGGCTCATGTGCTTCCCACCCAGGTAACAAAGAGTACTACTCAAGCAGAGTATTTAACCTTCTAAGTTTGTTCCACTTTTTTTTTTTTGTTACAAGGCATGGACAATAATCCCTTGTTTTAAGGTCAGCAGATTAATAACCTTGATTTCATTTGCAAAGTCCTTTCACGACAATGCCATGATTAGTATTTGACTGAATAATAAGGGGACAGAAATATTGGAGAGACATATTTAGAATTAAGATTTGGGGATGAAGTCATCCAAAAACTGATGCCTGGATGACCATGACTAGGAGCTCGAAGTACTTTTTCAAGAGCATACAAAATTAACTCCAACATGTAGTGAAGGTAGCACAGCTCGACACTCCCAAATGAGTCAGAGAAGACTGACGATGTGTGAAACCTTGAATGGGCACGGCAAAACACAGGGCTTAAAGATTTTCATTGTCGTTTCCAACTTGGATCATGTTATCTAATGATTCAGTGATTGACATATGAGCAGAGAATAAAATCAAGAAGCTCAACCTGTCTTTCAGGAGGTCAGCACAGTGATACAATAGCATGCCTCGTAAAATTCCAGTAAGGTCTCTCAGCCAATGGTGCCCTCTGTCCCAACGTATGGCTTCCTGTTACAGGCAGTATGTATCATTTCCTGAGTAATTACATCAACATTACCTAAAATCCCACGGGCCAGCGATAGAAAAGACAGGAAGGTACTATTTTTGGAGTCGTTATTCTTACTTTACAGATGAAAAAGCTGAGCATTGGATCAAATGACTTGCCCAAGGTCATAGGACAGGAATAAACCAAAGCCAGCACCCAATAAATTAGCAGGTCCTCCTTCCAAACATGAGTACCTACTCTGGAAATGTAAATTGACTTGCCAGAAATAGCATTTCTAAGGTAATTCTGATCAAAAGACTTATTTTATTTAAGGTACTGAACTAAATGGAAGTTTCATTGATCCACTTTAACAACTATTATATGCTGGCAGATCAAAGTAGCTGTTGCTGATCTTCACAAATTCTTATGAAGCAAAAATGTTTTCATATCATCCATTTCTATTGTGGAGTAGTGATCAATAACACCTTGAGAAAACCTCTAAACACAGAAAACTATCAGCAAGTTCACCTAATTAAAAACATCAAACAGAGTCTTCTAACTTGGTTCCACTTTTTCTGTTAGAAGGCATGTAACCACATGAAATGCATTAATTTTTTTTTAATCCCAGCCGAATTCCTTCTTAGAGTTATGGATAAAGTCTGTCTACAGGGCCAGGCGCAGTGGCTCAAGCCTGTAATCCCAGCACTTTGGGAGGCCGAGGCGGGTGGATTACGAGGTCAAGAGATCGAGACCATCCTGGTCAATTTGGTGAAACCCTGTCTCTACTAAAAATGCAAAAAATTAGCTGGGCATGGTGGTGCGTGCCTGTAATCCCAGCTACTCAGGAGGCTGAGGCAGGAGAATTGCCTGAACCCAGGAGGCGGAGGTTGCGGTGAGCTGAGATCGCGCCATTGCACTCCAGCCTGGGTAACAAGAGCAAAACTCCGTCTCAAGAAAAAAAAAAAAAAAATCTGTCTACATAGCTGTCTTCATCCACTTTTGTGTTGCTATAACAGAATAGCTGAGACCAGGTAATTTATTTTTTAAAAAAAGTTTATTTGGCTCATGATTCTGGAGGTGGGGAAGTCCAAGATTGCTCAGCCCATTTGATGAGGGTCTTGTGCTGCTTCAGCTCCTGGGGAAAGTTGAAAGGGAAGTGGGCATGTGCAGAGAGACCAGAGTCTCTGGGGGGTCTCATAGGTAAAAACAGTAGCTCACATATGATTCATTTGTACAAATTTTAGTAAGATACGGAGCAAGCTTATACCTTGCTATTTTAGGCCATTTAATTTACAACAGTTCTTTGGTAAAAGACCAGGTGTTTCAGATGCAATTGTTCACAGTGTCTTTTTATAACAAATCACTTCGTTCTCCCAACAATTCTCCCAAATATAATAGGTGAATAGATTAAAAATTGCTTTTGCCATGTGTTCTTCATTTACCTTGCCAAATTGATATTTCAAGTTAAGCACAGTTGTATATTATACACAGAAGAGTGTTCTCCTAGTCTTAATAATACCTCATTGAACAAGTACTCTTATGCTGTTTTTGAAGTGATTCAAAATAAGGCATTAATCTACATTTACTAGTACATTATGGAGAAGCACTTCTATGACCCTATTTCTGAAAATCAGCCTACTTTTTCTTAGAAATTTCTATGTACTTTAACTAGAAATTTATTACACTATTACATTTCTCTTGGTTTCCCATATTAAAAAAAAATCATTGCAAATAAAATCTTTTGAGTAATAATTACTTAGCATATAAATGATTTTGGTATTAACATAATTCTCTCTAAATAAATAATTTCTGTGTCCAATGCATAATGTACCAAACACACCTATTAAAATGATAGTTTTGTAGTGTGAGAATTTCCATAATAAAAACCTGTGAGATTCAATCTAGCACATTTAAAGAATGATCACTCTTAGATTGCCATTGGAAGATAAATTCTAATTACTGTTTAATTTCTTGGTTGAAAATCTTTGGCAAGTACAACATAAAATTGACTCTGAAATTATGTGGTTAATATTAGCAGCACTTAGCTGTTCCTATTGAAGCTGCTAAGGTTTAATTTGCTTGGCTGAAAGCAATACTCTACCACAAATTTTTAAAAACTGCTTAAAGTTTGGAAAGTTTAAAAAGTGGCTATCGACAGAGTTAACTAATCTGTGATAAGCTATGTTCGGTAAAATGGCTCAACACTGGGTCATTGAAAACCGGTACATTCTAAAGAAGGTTTGCTGTTTGAGGGGTTCTAGAGCAAGAAGATAAATGTGTTTTTAGAATTCTGTTATCAAAGCTATGGGTTCATATCCAGCACTGGGACATGATCCTATGACTGGTCAAATCAGCGATGGAAAGTTAGAAATCTCCCTTAAACATGGTTGCATTCTTAGAATTAATTGCCTCTTGCCTAAACTATGTTTTTCAAAAATGTAAATCTCAGAGAGTTATTCTTCAAGTCATATTGCTGGAGTAGACATTTATAATTTTTTTAATTTTTGATGAGATTATTAACACTAATTTGTTCGAGTTTTTTTGTGTTAACTGTCTTAAAAATGGCTACTGGTTATTTAGCGCTTTTGATAGACCAAATTCTGAATCAAGCTATTTTCATGAATCATCTCATTTAATCCTTACAAACCCAGGAGGAAGAAACTATCCTTCATCCAATTTAGCAGATGAGAAAATGAATGCAGAGAGATAAAGTAATTTTTACACTGTCAATCAGTTAGTAAAAGGGCACTTATAGGATTATTCATATGGAAAGAGAGTAAAAAGTGATAACTTGTATAGTTTTCTCCATGCATAAATACTGAGCGCTTCAACTGCAGCTAATGGAGTATTTAATGACATTGTTACAGACAAATCATTCAGATGTATTGATTTAATCTTCCAGTGTTTAAACTGCAATGATAAACTAATAACATTCCCAAACTTTCAGCTTCTTCCAAAGTTATTTTTATTTGTGTTACTAAATAAAAGAAGTAATGTTCAATGCTAATTATTTATCATGATCTATTTTTTTTAATATATGAGGGGCATTATTTTTGGATGAAAACTAAACCCAAATTCAGCATTTATACAATAGTATGAAATCTTACATTTGTAGTTTATAAGAGTTTAATAAACGTATGACATGTGCAATAATCAAGATTTTTATTGCATATGTTTATTAAAGCTCATTTATAGCTAGTTAATAGAGTATGCGTAGACTTTTGCTGAGTTAATAAATCCAACGCAAAGTACCACTTGCACATCATGATGTAGATAGCTTCACCGTAGCTATCCTGAAGCATGGAGTTCTTCATGCTCAATAGTTTGTCCTTGGTGTGAAAAGATAATTTGCTGACCATTTCTGCATAGAAGTCCTCATCAGCAACAGGACTTGAATCTTCAGCTTGAATATTTATCTGAGAGAATGAGAAAGAGAAACAGAGAAAGAGAAATAGATAAAGGAAAACAAAGGTCAATGAATATGACGACAAGCATGGGGGTGTTTTAGTAGGTAGAGAGATTAAAACCTAAAACCATAAGGGTTCTTTCATTTTTTTTTGATCTAAGAGAACTATGATGAGAAATGGAAAGACGTTGAAGATTGAAGATATACAGAAAGAATATCAAGTAGGGGCATTGACCTCAACTAGAAATTTAAGGCAGAAATGCATTGAAAATAAAGGCCACAAAATGCAAATGAAGGAAAACACTTAGTAGGTCACGAACATGGCAAACAAAAAGCTCTTGGAATTTTTCAGAGTTAGAAGGGCTTATTTCATTTGATGTGGATCCCAGTTGAATATCATCCCTCAACGAGTGGGCACAGACCCCTGCCTGAATCTCCTGGGTCACATGGTGCACACTGCAGCCCACTAGGACTGATACCGTTTTTGAACAGCTTAACTGATACAATTTCAATATTTAACCAAAATCTACTTTCCTGTAACCTTTCCACTGCGGGCTTCCTTTGACTGTCTGGACCTTGTGTAGTCCCCACTCGTGTTCTCCCTCTATCCACGCCTCTCCACTTCGCGGACTTCCGTGGGTTTCTTGGTGAATATTCTCATGCATCCTGTTCTTTGATGTACTGATTTTGATCAGTACACTAAAATCAGGTACAAGGCAGACATTTTCTTTGTTGGATTCCAAATGTACAAAGACTCAATCTTGATCACATCCTAATGCTGGCATTTCTAGATAATATTTGCAGTGCTTTCTGTTTCTGTTTCTCTTGCTCTATAAATTTCTCCAAAATCCTAACATGTTGTTTGAAATTTGGTTGTTTCTTCTTATACAAGTTTGCATTGCAAGTTATTTTATAGCCTGCTTTAAAATCCTGCTTTTCTCAGAATGTGTAAAGATTAATAACTGTTGATAGTCCTCTGCTATCTTAAGTTTTAGGTTTGGCATAAGGGGTGCTGTTTGAGGCTGAAGCCATCTGATATGGTTTGGCTTTGCGTCCCTATCCAAATCTCATGTCGAATGTAATCCCCCATGTTGGAGGAGGGGCCTGTTGGGAGGTGATTGGATCATGGGGGTGGAATTCCTCTTGCTGTTCTCATGATGGTGAGTGAGCTCTCATGGGTGAATGAGCTCTCACGAGTTCCGATTGTTTAAAAGTATGTAGGACCTCCTCTGACCCTCTTCCTCCTATGTTGTAAATTTCCTGAGGCCTCCCCAGCCATGCTTCCAGTGCAGCCTGTGGACACATGAGCCAATTAAACCTCTTCTCTTTCCTTTTCTTTTTTTTTTTTTGAGACAGTGTTCTGTCATCCAGGCTGGAGTACAGTTGTGCAATCTCGGCTCACTGCAGCCTCTGCCTCCCAGATTCAAGCAGTATCAGGCCTCAGACCCTGAGTAGCTGGGACCACAGGCATGTGCCACCATGCCCATCTAAGTTTTTTGTATTTTTAGTAGACACAGGGTTTCGCCATGTTGCTCTTGAACTCCTGGCCTCAAGTGATCCATTCACCTCAACCTCCCAAAGTGCTGGGATTACAGGCATGAGCCACCATGCCTGGCTGTGGCTCTTTTCTTTACATTAAAAGTAATGGCAAAAACTGCAATTACTTTTGAACCAACATAGAGCAATGCGAGAACAGACTAACAACACTGTCCATACAAATACAGGAAATGTCAGTCTCTAGTTTCTTCATGTTAAAACTTTAGATCACTGTTTTGGCATGAAAGCGAAGTATCACCTTGGCAAAAGACTGTCGGCCCTCCAATAGGCATGCTGACATCCTGACTGTTTTCTGCTCTTTTGCCTCTTATCATTTTATTGGAGAGGGTATAGCCCAGCTAGCTGAATTCAGTGTCATGTTCGATAACTGGCAAGGAAAACTTGTGATTGAAAGTAAGGTTTCTCTACCAGGCAACTTTTTTAACAAATCCAATGGTGCAATCTTTCAATAATTTTTTGCCCTTGCACCCCAAAATGCGATCATTTACCAATCTGAGTACTTGTTCGTTTGCAACTGTATTCCCAGCCCACTGTTGCCAACTGCCCCTACTGTGCCACGGCAGTGAGTTCCGGGTGTCACTTTCATACCTTATCTATGATAGCAAATTCTTCCTTGTTCTCTGTGCAGCAAAAGTCACAGCTGTTGTCACATCTCAATTTGAAAAACCTCCCTGCAATTCTAGGAACAGGTAGTCACCAGTCTAAAAGAATGCTAGACGAAATTGTAGTAGTAGTTTGTGGTTTCCTTCCTTCCTTTTGAAATATTTCTATCTGTATCATCTCTTAACAGTGTCTTAGTTCTATCTATCATGCCAAAGAGTAAAATCAACTTCCTAAGCACCTCCTCCTCTGAATGCTTTTAAGGCTCAGCTCATTTGCTCATGGGACAAATGAAACTTTTGTAAAAGAAGAAATGGAAAACCTGCCAATTGACTGAATTTTGGGAGTAAATGAGCAGGGATTTCCACTTTTTAAAAAACTGCTTCACTTTGTTAAGAATTTACATGATTACTCTTTCTGTGATTCTGTAGAGCCTGTTCATGAAGAATTTGCCTCCTCCACAGTGAAATTGAGGAGATTGGGACTTGATATGCAAAGTCAAGTATATAAACTGATTGATTAGAGAGAAATGAATGATAAATATCAGTTTCATGGAGATGGCAGGCAAATCACAAGGTAGAGCTTGACCGCTGATCTTTCTAGTATGGAGAGAGTATATGTTGGTAGCAGTTGTGCAAAGGTACGTTTATGGATAGAAATTTAGGGGGGAAAAGAGGTAGTTCGTCTTCACAGATTCTGAGAACGGGCAGAGGAAAACACAGTGCTGTCTCTGAAGGCTGCTAGGCCGCTGTCTCACCTTGCACAGGTGCATGACACCTGTCTGGGAAGAGTTCGCTTCCTGATGCCTGGTCCAGGTGGGGTTATCCCACCTCTCCTGACATGTATGCCATAGAAAAAATCCATTCATTCATTCATCTATTCCATTATTTTTACAGCATATTTTATATGTGCCAACCACCGTGCTAAGCACCAAATATAGAATAGTGAATGTAAATGAATAAAAGCACAAATATATGTAACTACAAAACTGGAGGGAGTTCAAAGTGCCAATGACAATGATGACGGTGACAGCAGCCAACAGTCACTCCACATCCCTCCACACGAGGCACTGCACTAAATGCCTTTACCTGCATTATCTGAACAAGCCTCATGCCAGACAGGAGAGCAGAGCTCAGTTTGCTTTGTTCTTGTCTGAGACTCCCAGTGGTCACATTGCTGTCTTTACCGCAGAGCCCCTTGCAGAGCCAAAATAAGAGGGGGTGGATACAAAACGTTGACTTTGCACACCTTCACCTTCCTCTAGCAGCCCCTGGGCTGTGACTGTGGCAGCACCTTGATGCTCGTCTCCTCAGATGTGTTGTGTTGGCAGGAAACCAGCTAACTGGAGCAAAGTAAATGAAGCAAACACTGCCTCTTGAAAGGGCCATCGTACAGCTATTGAGAACTAGGTTCAGTTACTGCTGTCTTAATAGCTTGCAGGACCACAGGCCAGTCATTCAGTCTGTCTGTGTATTTCTTCATCTAGCAAGTAGGAAGGAGAAATACTCACATATCCTCACATATGTCAGATCCAAATATGCTCCTCCCTCTTCCTGGTGGACATTCTGTGATGCAGATTCTCCTTCCCCTTCTCACATCGTTTCTCTTTCCTTCAACCTCAGCGCATGTTGTCATTTACAGTCAGGCAATTCTTTCCTATTTCTTCCCACCACCCACTTTGTGCAGAGCCTTTTACTCTGGAACCTGCCCATGAACAGAAAGAGCTGGGTTCCACTGCAGATAAGCCCAGGGTTTCCTCCCTCTCATGCTGTAGTAATCTCAATTGCCTGGCTCCAACTCATACTCTAGCTGTGGAATCGATAATTTCTGGATTTTGTGATCCCCTTGTAAACACCTGCAAAATCAATGAGATTTCCATACAGAGGGTGAGGAGCACTGAAGCAGATGCTATTGATACTTAGTTCTTTTATAGAAACGCAAGGTAAGTACAGGGTGTTTCTGCCACTTTTATGCATAATGAGGCATTTATACAAACAACATCCATACAGCTAGTTGAACTGCCTGGAGCAAAGTAATATTCAACCTTCAAACCTAGTAACTGCATAAACTTGGAACTGATAGAACGCCTTCTGCTCTGGGTTTGAAGTGCCCGATTAAGTACATTCGAGGAGGTTGTTTTATTTTGTTTTGTTTTTAACCCCCTCCCTTTGAAACCGAACTGTGGTCAGTGTTAGAGAACTGATGGTTTCCTTAGTGTGTCATTGTTATAGAACATTCCTGTGACTTTGTATTCTTCAGCGTAATACCTGTGTTTCGTGAAATAATCTGTGAGATTTCAGGCTAAGCATTGCTCTTGCTCTTTTCTATTTTTATTCTAAGTATATTAACTGATTTCCTTTGAGAGACATGCTTGCAAGCTTGGGTGTATCTCAGTTTATCTAATAAACATGTTCCTGGCACAAATTGTATAAATCAAATTTTAACAAATTGAATCATATATTTAAATGCCTGAGGGGCACTCATATTAGGAAATGAATCATATTCTGAATTTTGAGGGGATTTTATACCCAAATATTATTTTCTGATAATCTAGGTTTTCACTTTGTTTGCTTTATTTGGTGACTCTTGTATCAAATCATTAAATTCATTGAGGAATTTTTAAAAGCAAGGAGTTGAGGGAAAGGATTCTGGGGAGATAGTGGAGTGAAAAGCACCAGGAATCTCTCTCCCTGCCTAGACAACAATTGCACTGACATAATCTGTCTTATGAAGCTTTCTTTTGAACTCTAGCATTTATTCTAAGGATTGAAACATTTACAAAAAAGCTTAGAAAGTAAATTGTGGTTAATTTCAGTCACATAAGCTGGTCGCCAGGTAGCAGTGTGTCCAGTC